GCCTCCCGCCCGGGCGGGGCCACAGACTGCCCCGGCCAGCCCCATGGCGGGAGGGATGGGATGGGACGGGACGGGACGGGATGGGATGGGATGGGATGGGATGGGATGGGATGGGATGGGATGGGATGGGATGTGGTGGGATGTGGTGGGATGTGGTGTCACGCACAGTATGGGATGTTCTGGGATAGGACGTGGTGATGGGGAGGGGACACGGTGTTGGGACAGGACGCGGTGTCACTTATGGGATGGGATGCCCGGGATGGGACACGGTGGCAGGGAGGTGACGGGGTGTCACAGAAGGGATGGAGCGGGAGGGACGGGACACGACGGCAGGGATGGGACGTGGTGGCAGGGCCGGGACGCGGTGGCAGGACGGGATGTGGTGGCAGGTCCCTGGTGGGCAGGGTGACCCCCTGGAAGGGGGGTCCGGGGGTGGGCAGGGACCTGCCCGGCTCCGTTGGGGGTCGGCAGCCCCCGTCCCGCTCACCCCTCTCTCCCCGGCGCTGCCGACCCAGAGGACGAGTCCCTGCCCTACCAGGTGAGTGGGTGCCGGGATCTCCCCCCCGTTCCCCCCTCCCCGTGGCTCCCCGGGGGCTTATCGGGGCCCGTCACCCCGTCCCAGCCTGGCCCCGGTGCTTATCGGTTCCCGGCACGGGCACACGGCGCCAGCGCTGCGGGGACGGGGACACGGAGCCCAGCCAGGCTGTGGGGCTTGGCCACGGCTCAAACTGCCTCGTCACCATGACGGGGCCACCACCCCAGGGTCCCCAACGCCACATCCCCATGGTGGTGTCCCCATTGTGGTGTCCCCAACCCATTGCAGGGTCCTCATCCCTGGGAGAGGGTTGGGAGATGGGGGGGTCAGCCTTGGGTCCCCTTCATGAGACACCTCCCCCTCCCCCATCCCCATCACAGCACCCGGCTCCCCATGGGGTGCCAGGGTCCCCTGGGGACACCGGGAGCCTGTCCCCAACACCGCTGTGTCCCACAGCGCGCCTCCGGCGAGGGCTGCCTGCTGAAACCAAAGAGGACCAACCCGTGTGCCTACACACCGCCCTCCCTCAAAGGTACCGGCTGGAAGGGGGAAACTGAGGCACGGTGGGGCTGGGGACACCCTGGGACCCCCATATCTTTGGTTAGGGGGGGGTCTGTGGGGAGACTCCAGAGCTCCCAGTGCCTGGAGCGGGGTGCTGATGGAGGTGGTGGCTCCCCAGCGATGCAGCGCATCGTGCAGTCCCACCTGGAGAGTGGCCCGGCCGGGGGTGACAGCTCCGACGGGGAACCCGATGATGGGGAGAACGAGCTGGCCCGCGCCTGCGACCCCGACAGCGCCCTGGAGCCTGGTGAGGGGACATGGGATGGGGGACGGGGGCTGCTGGAGGCTGGGGGGGTCGGGGAGGCAAGGGGACGGGGCTGTCAGAGCCCGGGGGACACGGGGACAGGATTGCTGGAGACATGGGGGACACGGGGAGGGGGCTGCTGGAGCTGGCAAGGGACATGGGGACAGGGATGCTAGAGACGGGGGGACAT